ATGAACAACATTTACTATACCTCTCCATACCTATCCTTGTAAACCACCTTTGCTTCCACCATATCCATTGCACTGACTCCTCTGTCAACAATACTGAACAAGTCAGGCCATAGCTATCAAACATCAAAAACATCTGCCAGGCTATCCCACCTCCTTTACATGGACAATCTGAAGCTGTATGGAAAAACACCATCTGAAATGGAATCACTGCTCAACACTGTCTGAATATATAGCCAAGACATTGCAAAGGAGTCTGGACTGGACAAATGTACTACCCTTACCATCAACAGGGGAAAAATAGTGAAAACTGAAGGAATCAAGATGTCCTATGGAAATAACTTCAAGAGTCTGGATGAAAAAGATCATTACAAATACCTGGGCATCCTTCAAGCTGACAACATCAAGTACAATGAAGTCAAGAAGAAGGTTAGGAGTGAATACATCATGAGAGTGAAGAAGATCTTAAAGTCCAAACTCAGTGAAGGAAATACCTAACTTCAAGAGTCTGGATGAAAAAGATCATTACAAATACCTGGGCATCCTTCAAGCTGACAACATCAAGTACAATGAAGTCAAGAAGAAGGTTAGGAGTGAATACATCATGAGAGTGAAGAAGATCTTAAAGTCCAAACTCAGTGAAGGAAATACCATCAAGGCAATGAACACCTGGGCAATTCCAGTCATTAGATACACAGTTAGAATAATGGACTGGACTCAAGGAGAACTAGAGGCCTACCAGAAAAATAATGACAATGAATCACGCCCTTCATCCATACAGTGATGCTGACCGACTCTACTTACCAAGGAGCATAGGTGGGCATGGAATGTTGCAAGTACAGTTGAAGAAGGAAAAAGGGCATTAGAAAAATAGCTGAAGGACAGTGAAGAAGATGCACTGAAGCTAGTATACCATGAAGGCTTACTGAATATCAAAGAACCAAACTGGCTTACAAGAAAGTCCAAATGATGGATAGAAAAGAGACATGGCAAGGCTAAGTATTACAGAGCCAGTACACCAAAAAAACAAAACAAAACAATCTGCAGACAAAGCAGATAACAAGAAGACCTGACAATGGCTAAGAGCAGGAAAGCTGAAGAAAAAGGGAGAGGAGCTAATTCTGGCTGGACAAGACCAAGTGTTAAGAACAAATGCATATAAAGCCAGAATTGAGAAGACAGCAACAGACAGCAAATGCCACCTCTGCAAAGAAGCTGAAGAAACAGTGGATCACCTAGTAGCTGCTGCAAGAAAACTGCACAGACTGACTGCAAACAACAGCATGACAAAGTAGCAACAATGGTGCATTGGAATATCTGCAAGAAATACCATTTGCCTGTAAGCAAGAACTGGTGGGACCACAAAGCAGATAAAGTCATAGAAAATTAAGAAGCTAAAGTGCTCTGGGACTTTAGAATTCAAACAGATAAGTGCCTCCCACATAACACCCCAGATTTAACAACTGTCGATAAGAAAGACAAAAAAGTCTGGATAGTGGACACTGCAATACCTGGAGACAGCAGAACAGAAGAGAAAGAATTGGAGAAAATCACAAGATACGAAGATCTGCAAATAGAAATAGAACGACTGTGGCAAAAGAAAGCAAAGATAGTACCAATAGTAATAGGCGCCTTGGGTGCAATACCAAAACACCTGGAGTACCA